CTGTGTGCTTGGCTTACTCAACAACCAGAAACCTCCTGCACACACCTGATTCTGGGAGAAGCCTTTCAGTCAGTTCCCTACCGGCCTGCTCACCGGGTAGCTGGGGGTGGATCTTGTGGGGAGTAAGGGAAAATGTCCACCATCGCCAAAAGCAAAAAAGAGCCCAAATCCAACTTCTTTTCTCTGAGCTTCTTCCCTGGGGAAAAGTTGCCTTTATCCAGATTAAAGACATGAGGAACAAAGAAAGCCACAACAATATTGGACCTAACTACAAGCACAAACTCCGTTCATGAGAACTGTTAACTGGTAGCTAAACTGTCTCATTCTTATTGCTAATGAACAGTGAAGGTACCCAAGAAACCCAAAGCAGTACAGGGGAGAAAAGGAAGAAACCAAGGGCTTAGATCATTTGTGAAAGTCGATAAGTCTTTGAATAGTTAAGGATATTCAATTTGTCAGATATGAAAGAAATCCCTAATCTGCATTTATGTTAGAGCATGTCATCACTAATCCAGAACATTACATTTTTATCATAATAGTTATAGGCAATTCTGTCAAAGAATTTCACTTATTGGCTGGATTAGATATCAAAATAAGGGAAATGCTGAATTATAGAATACTCTGCATTGAATATTTAATAAATTAATCCCCTGTGCTGATAGGAGTTCCAGAAATAATGCCAGTTGTGTGACAGCATTTAATACTAGTTAATAAAAATGGCTTGAGAGCAAGTCAAAGCCTAACAGGCGTGCAATCCAAATTAGAAGCACAGAAGAATCATACTCAAGGTTATAATCAGTAAAAAAGATCATTGGCGGTTGTGAATAGTTAAAGGAAAAGAAAGAAGATTGAAGCTTTTGTCAGACTGACTCCTTGGAGAGTTCCTGGGTCATTAAACATGAGCTTCTTCATATAAATTTTGACCCTGGTTTCTAGGTCATATTTATCTTTCATATTTTTCATATAACTTTGAATTATACCAGAGTTTCAGCAATAGATTGTAACTCTAAAATCCATATCAATTCTCAAAGGAGGAAGAAGAGGAAGAGGAAACAGATGGAGAGAAGGAAAAAAAGGGAAGAAGACAGGAGTAGGAGCAGGGCAGGGAGGAACGAGGGATAGCCAGACATTTCTCATTCATTTTGACATAGCAGGTGGACCCCAATTTTTATATATGAAATATTCAAAGGTGAACCCTTAGATGTATACATAGTGGTTAACAGGAGTCCCCTATTCCTGGAGACTAAAAAAAAACAAAATGAAAAAAACAACTGCAATACTTGATAAGGACATTAATACTTAGTTTTAAATTTAAACACCAATTTCTTATATATTTAAACTAGATTCAACAGAGATAATACAAATTCATCTACTTACTTAATTTAAAATTTTGTCTCTCAGCTTAAATGAATGACATTTAGTAGAGAGAAGAAATGGGAGAACGTGCTAATGGTGATTTTGGAAGGTCCTGAGCAGACGCTTTTCCACGGATTGAGCAGATGAATTGTTAAGACAGGAAAGGAAAGGAGATGAAGAGGTTTGCTCTGTGATCATTTACATCTGGCTCATTTACATCTGTTTCAGGTTTGCTGTCCTGCTCAGGCCTACTGGGCAATCTCTTTAAGGATCTGGTAATGCTAATATATTGTAGAAATATATTAGACTAGGGTCAGATGATGAGATTCCCACTTCCTGAACTGGTCTGCCGATACTTATCCTACAAAAAAGTCCTGTTTGAAAAAAACCCAAGACGCTAATTCAAAAAAATATATGCACCCCTATGTTTATTGCAGCACTATTTACAATAGCCAAGACTTGGAAACAACCGAAATGCCCATTGGTAGATGACTGGATTAAGAAACTGTGGTACATTTATACAATTATACAACTCAGCTGTAAACAAGAAGGAAATCGTACCATTTGCAACGATATGGATGGACCTAGAGAACATTATGCTAAGTGAAATAAGTCAGTCAGAGAAAGACAAATACCATATGATCTCACTTATATGTGGAATCTAAAGAACTGAATAAATGAGAACTGTAAACATAAATAGTCTCAGAGACACAGAGGAAAAACTGATGGTTACTAGTTAGGAGGGGGTGGGGATGAAGAAGAAGGGGAAGGGATGAGACAATATAATCTGGTAACTACAATATGGCCTCAGGGATAGAAAAAGACAGCCTGGGGAATATAATCAATAATGCTGTAATATTTTTTAGGGGGCCAGATGGGCTCATGTCTTGTTAGGGAGACCACTTCATGGACAGTGTAGAGGCCTGACCACCGCACTGTATTTCTGAAGCTGATGTTGAATAATATTGTATGTCAACTATAATTATATATACATGTAGTTACAGGACGTGGAGTAGAGTGTGGGATTGGAAACAATGGAATTGTAATAAATAAGTATGATATTGGGGGTGGGAGAGCAGTGGATGGGGGAGGGGGGTTGTCACTTTGTGAGGGGTGAAAAGAATATTGCATTGCTTTGTACACCTGAAACTAATAATAATAATAAAAAGAGATGTTCACCAAAAAAAAAAAAAAAAGTCCTGTTTGAGCCACCTGAGCTTATCCCAAAGCTATCATGGTGAAAGAAATTAATATAAATAGAAAACATTGCTTTAAGACCTACACTTCACTGGTTTGAAGGAAACAGGAATAAGTCAAGTGTGTTGAGGATCAGTGATTTCAAATTTATAAAGCATAAAGCTTATTATTGGGTTTGAAGTGAAAAGATCATTATCACCAGTAACACATCCAGATATCTTCCCAACATTTTTCTGATTCAGACTATTAAGTTTCGTATTAAAATATGATTAAAAGATACTCATTAAAGAGAACTTGTAAACAGACAAAGCTTGAAAAACAGTGAATATACTGAGGAAATTTCACACAAACAACAAGCACATTTTAGGGTGCTTTTCCCAAATACTAAGGATAAAGTTAGAATGTAATAACACCAGTAGTACGTAGTTCAAATTTAATTGAGGGCTGAGCATCTGTTAGGCAATGTTCCACCTGCTTTCAATGTAGTTATCTTATATAATCCTCACAAAACTCCCCTACAATAAATACTGTTGTATTCCTATTTTGTCGACAAGGAATCAACAAACCAAAAATTCTACAGAATGTACTGGCATATACAAAGAGAATGGAAAGCATCTAAATTTCAAGTTATCAGAGAGTTAATCTCCTACATCTCAACTATCTAATACACATAAAAGACAATGAAGTTTATAAAGTTACTATAAAGGAGAAAGGGAGTAGTATAACAAAAATGCACATTCGTAGACTCAAACAGATTGTCAGCTTGGCTTAAGGAACTCTAAAATAACAAGCTATCTTTTGGTTGTTTTCTTAATTTGCTGCTGCTTGGTGTGCTGAAAAGCATTTAAATCTCTGCAGCACTCATGCACCACAGAGAAGTCTTGGCTCTGGGCAGCTTCTGTCTTTGTGTCAAATTGGCTGCCCAGACCTGACATCTTGGTTGCACATTTATTATTTTGCCACCACTTTAAGCATAAGTAAAATAAACACACAACCAAACCAATGATAATAATGATGATAATATTTGGAGCAATAGCAATATAGTACTATGCTTTGTACAGAACTGAGCTTAATACAGATCTTATTTACCCTTTTAAAGCTGACTTCTATTTCTCTTTTCATTCCTTCAGGAAGGAAAGGGCTAAAATAGCAGTCAGAACTCTACTAGCATTTAGCTGGTTTGGTTTTAAATAACATGGCTTGACTGTGGATGTCGGTAAAATAGGAGCCTTCATTTCCAAAGGCACCCACACCGGGCTCCACAGGCCACAGAAAAGCACTTAGAGGTCGTGTGTAATCAAATTTGTGAAAACTGATCCAATAAAGCCCCTCACTATTGGAGTGCTATAATAAATCATGTAGAGAATCTATTTGTAATGCAAAATATCTCTTAATGTCTCTGTTTCTAAATTTGAATTTTTGTGTACATGTGGTCTTTGAAAAGTAAGACCCTTCTGGAATTTATGGAAGCCCAAGTACATCTAAAATAATCAAATGCGATGTTATTCATTTGCTCATGCAACACTTTGAAATGATGCCGTGTCCTAAAAGAACGGTGCCAGGTCGGAGGGATGGCCATGATTAAGTCCATTAATGCCCTTCAGGTATTTAACTGTGGTTGGGGAGGAGAAATCTGATGTGTTAAATATTTTTCACTTGGAAAATAAACAATGAAATAAACACTTTCCTTCTATAAGACAACTGATTTCTTGAAGGCAATGCCAGAGATAATCTTTTTGAAATATCCTTCTCACATATATAATTCACAACACAATAATGTGATGAATTTTTGTTGTCACAGAATAGCAAATGTTTAAATGATAAGAACTTGGCAAGTCTTAGGGAGCTGAATGTCCCTAAACTGTTCCTAGAATCTGAAGGGCCCTTATTTTCTTGTGTTCACTTTGCCTCCTCCACAGTCCCCGCCCCTCCTTCATGTTCAAGAGAAAGAAACTCAGAAAGGTTGAGAGAGCAGCTGAAACTGGGACCAGCCAGACCTCCTCCTCAGACTTTTTAGCTGATTCGTTGAATGATTCAGCTCTTCCACTTTATCAATTAGAAAAGCTATATGGAAATAACATATTTTAAGGTTTGAGGGGTTTTCTCCTGCTTTCTTTTAGTCAAACATGTAAGCAGAAGGTGTGGTGGCAACAGATGATGGATGGTTAAAGCAACTTCCGCAATGACAGCGCAGCGGGCCCCACTCCGGGCTCAGGTCCCAGTAACCCTTGACCGACCCGCGTCTCCCGCTTAACTCCTCCCAGCCACTCCCGGGATTAGGCTGGTGGGCGGGTCCCAAGATGCAGATCTCTCTCCCTCTTTCTATGCAGCCCGGACGCTCCCCTCATTGCATTCTGGGGAATGTAGTTTCCTTTGAATCAGCAGCTACTCTGTCTAGGAAACCAAGGCTGTTAGGTTTGAGGGATCCGCCCCTCCATTGACCCCGCCCCAGGTTGCTTGGGAGATGAGAGACGCCGAATCTTGGTCGACCTTGGCGCCGGGCAGCATAGGTGCAGAGGGAAATCCTCTGAGATCTGTACCTCGAGGGCGGCCATGGAGCACTTTGACAGATTCTGCCAGGACGTGTGCAGCAGTAGCCAATACCGGTTTGAGCTCGGACCCACCGACTTGCTGGAGCGCAAAGGCTCCCTGACCCTCCGCTCCCATCACAAGAAATACTCGAAGCCCGTGTTGGTGTATTCCTGGTGAGCGAGCTTTCCAAAGTTTCTGGTTCCCTGGTGCCGGCAGAGGGAAAAGGGAAAGGATGGGGAGGAGAGGAAAGGACAGTAATAGAGAGATAGATGACAAGGGTGGAGAAGAGAGAATAAACAGAAGAGAGTGAGAATAGAGGAAAAAAGTAGAGGAAGAAGGGAAAAGAAGGAAATGGTGAGACTGAAAAAGATGAGACAAGAGAAAGAACTGAGAGAGGAGAGGAGAGAGAAAAGAAACGAAAACGGATCTTCAAAGGAGAGGTGGAGAAGGTAAGAGGGGAAAGGAGTGGGACAGGAGAGCTTTCCAAGACCAGCTCCTCAGCACACTCAGAGACCTGCTGCAGCCAGCGCCCCGGCCACCAGAGGTCACAGGTCACCCAGAAGCAGGGGCTTCTGCTGGAGGTTTGCTTAGGCCTGGAAACCGTGTTTCTGAGACAAGCACTTACTCATAAAAGGCAGGGTCCGTTAGGAGGCTGGAGGCACAGCAGGAGGGAGATGTTTGTTCGGAGGATGGGCTCCAGAGCTGCCATTTCTTGGAGGCAGTGAGACACACTGAATGATTTGAAACACGTCCCTAAGTATCCCCTAGGCTACCAGGACTCTTCTAGCCAGAGATTGCAAACTGGTATTTCCCACTGGGTAAGGCCAATGGTTCATATGGTATGCAGTGTTCTCATTTTTTCTTTTAAATGTATTACCCACACGTAAAACCAGGAGGTTACACATACAAATCGAGGATTGTGTGTGTGTTGTTGTTGTTTTTTTCTTGAAAAGTTGAAAGGCCTGGCAACAGGATTTTATTCCTCCTGGCAACTTTGAATGCACTAGAGCTGAGCACCGGCTACTCAAGATGAGCGCTCTCTCATACATGTTCTCTCCTGGGCCCAGGAGGCATTTGTGTTACTTCCTCTGCCTTCGTCCTTGGGCTTGGAATTCACTTAGAGATTCTCTTGTTTTGTTAACTATTGCAGCAACCAATAGCAAAACCATGACATATAACTGGGAGAAAAATGGGAACTTTTAGGGCAATTAGGATTTTGTCCTTTGGGTTAATTTTGATGCTGTTGACAATAATTACTTTTGGGGTATTTGGGATATTCTAGGGAAGAGGGAAGAAAGAGAGAAAGGAGAAGTCTCCAATCTTGTCTCCTTTCTACTTTTGTCATTGAAAGAGGGATGATGTTGACTCTAGTCCCAAGGCTAAGCCCTACTCGATCCCGTTTATTCATTAATGTATGTGAGCCCTGCAGTTTCTGTCTTGCAAACTTTCTACAGCCTACTCCTTGGTTTCCCACTAGCCTACTCCCTTACTTTTACTTTTCATCCCTAAAACTGACTGCCTCTTTTGAATTCAGTGTGAGAATTTATATAGATTTGAAATCCAAAGCTACATTGGGAAACAGAAAATCTTCTTTTAGCCTCATGCAGGGCTTACCTCATGGGCCCTCAAGTGAAACACTTAGCTCTTCCATGATTCTGTCACTCCAAAAAGATTTAGGTCATAATCTAAATCAGTACCAGAAATTATTGTTAAAAATCAAGATCTTTGTCACGTGGGTAGTGCTTCTGCTCTTTTTTCCATTGCTTTGAAAAGTTGCCTTGTGAACATGGTAGCCATCAGTAGCGAAACCACAGAAGAACATAAATGAGAAGGAGGGGAGGAACTTGGTGGGGGAGGAGGGTGGTATAACACTGAAAGCCATTCTCGCCACTGCTGGAAATGGAGAAAATTCTCATGCCGTTGGCTTTACAAAGAAAGTTTGAGAGCAGGAAGAAATAAACTCAATCCAACTAACATTTGTGTGTCATGCACTGTGCTACGTGTTAGAGACACAGAGATGGATGAAAGGGATCCAGTGAGATAATCTGTATAAAGCATTTAGCACCATGTCTGGCACATAGTAAGCAGTCAGTAATATGTGCTAATACTATTTATTTAGAATAATGTAATGGTTAAAAGCTTGGGCTCTAGATTTGAACACCAACTCTGCAGCTCATGATATGGCAAGTGGCATGACTGCTCTGGGCCTCTGTTTCTGCGACTTTAAAATGGGGACAATAGGATTATTGTAAGATTAAACAAAGTATTGTACATGAAACCTTTTAACATATAGCCTGTCGCATAGTAAGCACAGTGAGAGTTATATACATATATAGGACATGGTCGTTGACCTCAAGGAATTTCATATGCCAGTAAAGCAGAATGTCAAAATCTTATTTGTGCAAAATAGAGATGAGTTTAAGAGGCAAAGGGAATGGGAAGGAGAGGGGTGTGTGTCTGTTTATGTGTGTGTGTGCGTGCGTGCGTGTGTGTGTGTGTAGTTTTCTGAGCAGGGTTTAGAAAGAATAGGAGCTTCATACTCATAGTACTCAAAAAAGAACAGGCAAGTGCAACGGAATAGAGAAATAGAAGTAGTTCTCTCTAGTTGGCAAATACAGTTGACCCTCATTATTTTTGGATTTGGTATTTGCAAATTCATCTACTTGCTAAAATTTATTTGTAACCCCAAAACAACACTCGCAGCACTTTATGGTCATTTATGACATGTGCAGAGAGGGAAAAATTTTGAGTCACCTTCCACACACATCCCCAGCTGAGGTCAGACAAAGTGACACTGCCTTCATGTTTCAGCGCTCATACTGTGAACAAGTGTTCTTTTCACAGTCTGTTTAATGCCACTTTTTTTGAATTTTTGTGCTTTTTGCTGGTGATTTCATTGTTAAAATGACCCTGTTGCATAGTACTGAAGTGCTGTCTAGAATTCCTAAGTAAAAGAAAGCTGTGATGTGGAAAAAAAAATTCATGTGTTACATAAGCTTCATTCAGACATGAGCTATACTGCTGTTAGCTGTGAGTTCAATGTCAAAATAACATGCCTTTAAATAGAAACACACATAAAACCAAGTTATGTAGTTTTTGGTTGATGAAAATGTGACCAGAGGCCCTCAGGAACCTAATCCATATACTTCTTCTAGGAGCAATGGTTCAGTATGTGCTACTTGTTTGTGACAACTTTATAGAACATGACGCTGAATAGTGAGAATGGACTGTAAAATGTGAAAATACTTGCAGTTGTCTGAGCTGGCTGTGCTGCTGGCATTCTTGTTTTCCTTTCATATCTGATCACTCACCAAGATCTGTCCTAAAAACAACTGCAAAAGTTCAAATTGTATAAACTTCCAAATGAATGTCATTGACCATTTTGTTTTTATGCATTCCAGTCGTCGTTATTTACTTTCTATTGACTTATTTTATTGCATATTAAAACTTTTACTGAATTTTAATCTTTTACTAGTGATTTTTTGTTTAATAGAGGAACACCTGCTATCCATAATACACCATTTGGGTGGCCTCTCCACTGAATATTTGATCAATTAAGTGACTATACCTGTGGGTTTGAAAAATAGAATTGGTGACTGGGAGAAATTCTGACTTACCTCTGCTTATATAGTTTAAACATTTGGATGATTCCTGTATTACATGGCATGTAATACAAGTCTGTTTGACTTTACTACACATATTTATAACAGTTGTGTTTCATAGTCATGATAAAGTGATATGCCCAGAATGGTTGTTAGAGGGATCTCTGGCCCATTACTGAGATAAGACATTGCCTAGTAGCCATGTCTTCCTTTTAGCTGGAGTGGTGGATAGAGAACCATATCACCTACATCACACCTTGATGCTTCTGAGTGAGGGAGGCCTGCTCTAGAGAGTGTCTCCCTCTATTCATTACTGTAGCATTTATGGAGCTGTATCGTCAGATGATTCCACCAGAAATTCTGAGGCAAGGGAAAACTTTCTCTTGGGGTTGCTTTCCACTTTCTGGAATAATGGAATACCAAGAACCAGAACAACTATATTTGCCCTTAACCCTAACCTAATTAATAAATTGTCTGGTAGGAGGCTAGTTCTCATATTTTTATTTTTTTTAATTTTTACTCATCTCTTCATTGGCTAAATCAATATCCAGTAATACAGTGATGATAATTTAAAGCAAAAAAGAATTCATTTGAATCTCCCTGGAGATAGTTCATGCTTTGGTCTCCATGGTGACAGGTTTTAAGGGCTCAGGTTAATTACGTTTTTGTAATTTCAATTATTTTCTCTCCTGCCAAAGCCCTACATTAAAAAGCTGGCTATTTTACACTATCCCTACACACCCCATAATAGGAAGAAAACAAACAGAGAAAGGGGAAAAAGGGAGAAAAATTAAATGTGGTGATAATTTTGGGGCAAGGAACTTCATAGTTTTAAAGACTTTTACAGAAAATAATTTGAGCAGAAGAAATAACGAGCTTTCTGTGCCACTCTTCAGACTTACACTCCATTGTGTTGTTTGAACATGTTGTTCTTCCATGTTTAAGGTATTGCACATTCAGAGGAGAACCCAGTTTCATGTCACCAGGATATCCTTAGCGTATATCTATACTCAAATAGAATGTAGAGATGTATTTTCTAATTTACTATATTGCTCTTCCTGTATTTAATCAGCAACTTTCTCAGGGACTGACCTGGAAGTATGTAGAGTCCTTCGCATCACTAAGGACCCAGCTAGAGTTACGTAGATCTTCTCTAGCCAGCAATCCCATCTCCAAAACATACCCAAAAAACCAGGCAACAAAAGCAAAGGAAACAAGAAAGCCCGTTAGTAACCACGTGCTGTAGCCTGCCTCCTTGTTGAAGCCCATAAAGGTTTCCCCTTCCGTCAAGACTCTGTCCTTCTACATTTAACAACTCAGGCCCGCAATCAGAGGCTTATTAACTCTTTATTTTGTGCACCTTTTAAGTAAGTTTGGCTATGTGGTTTCCGTGTACACATCATAGAATTTAGAGAGGGGAGGAAAGAGACGTTAAAGAGGGTTTTTTTACGTCAATAATGGGACATGAGAAGAGCAAGCCTCAAGATAAGGGGTAAGAGCACCAACTGATGTTTATCAAAGAAATGAATGAGTGAGGTAGAAAGAACATACACAGAAACCCAAAAGGCACC